GGCCTGGGCGCTGTCCCTCAGCTCTTCAGCTCAAGTTAGCACTCTACCACTTGAGCCACAGCGCCACTTCCAGCTTTTTTCTTTTTGCTTATGTGATGCTGGGGAATCGAACCCAGGGCCTCAGGCATGCAAGGCAAGCACTCTACCACTGAGCTACCTTCTCAGCCCCCAATTCAATTCTTTATTGAATCTGCAGATGTAGAACCCAAATCTATTTTCTGTATTTAGACTATGAAAAACATTCTTCATTCTGCCCATTTTGTGCTATTAGTATTGGGCTCAAATAGTTTCAAATTTCTAAAGTTGACTTTCTAATTAGAAACACTTTGTGTTATATTAAAACAAATTATGTGTTGGACTACAGTATATTTAAGTATGGATTAGGGTTCCTCTAGAAAAGGCTATGTAGCTTTTCAGTATACCTTGTAATTGATAATTTATATATGTGAGTTTTTGTGTGTATTTGTAGCAAAGTTAAGAAATGTAAATTAGAAATAAAACTATATTATATAGAAGCATTATAGAATTAGTGCTATCAACTTCTCCAGTGGCTTGTACATAAAAAAAGTAGACCTAAAAATAATATGCCATGATTGTAAAAGGAGACTGTTTGGGAAAAGGATTTATCAGTAGGAGGGAAGGAGATAGAAGACGGTGCATGTAATAGGAATACATTATACATTGTTCTGTGTGTGTGTGTGTGTGTGTGTGTGTGTGTGTAAAATCCATCAAAAACTAAAGGAGGGGAACGTGAGAGAAATTAAGAATGTAATAGGGATAGAGTTTGATCAGAGGACATTATAATAAAATCCATCAAAAACTAGAACAGGGGAACATGAGAGAAATTAAGAATGTAATACGGATAGAATTTGATCAGAGGACATTATATGCATGCTTTAAAAGTTACAGTGAAGCTCGTTTTTACAATTTATGCTAATAAAAATAAACATGTGCCTACAGACTGTTTAAAAATCAGCATAAGATTTTTTTCCACAGTCTGTATGTTTCAAAAGCTCTTAACAAAAAAAAATAATACTTCAAGTGGAACTCTAGTGGCTCACCCTATAATCCTAACTATTTGGGAAGCTAGGGTTGTGATTTAAGGATAGCTTGGAAGAACAGTTAACCAGATTCTTTCTGAGAGGGGAATTAGACGTGGTAGAGAACACCTGTTGTCCTAGCTACTGGGAAGTCTAACAACTGGATTGTTAGACCATAGATAGATTTCTGCCCTGGTATACCAGTATCAAAAATATCGAGCAAAAAATCAAAGCTTGAGATATAAATCAGCTTTAACTATCTGTTTAGAAAGCTTGAGGTCCTGAATTCAAATATCCTCACATGAAAACACACACACACACGCATGCACTCATACATACAAAAGTCTTTAAAAGTAAGGCTGGTATCAGGCTAATAACTAGCTGGGTTTTGTTTTGTTTTCCCCCAAGAATTATCTTATTATTGTAGTGACAGGCAATAGAGTAATGCAAGCTTTCAGTGTCCAGAAGAAAATTTCATTTTAAGGTCACTTTTTTTTTCTTTCTTCTTCTTCTTTTTTTTTTTTTTTTTAATTCTAGAGCTTGAACTCGGGGCCTGAGCATTGTCCTAGAGCTTTTATGCTCAAGGTGAAGCACTCTACCACTTGAACCACAGCTGCACTTTTGAGTTTTTTGGACATTCATTTGGAGATAAGAGTATCACATGCTTTCTTGCCCAAGCTCTTTGAACTGTCATCCTCAGATATCTCAGCTTCTTGAGTAACTAGGATTACATACATGAACTACCAGTGTCCTACAAAGATCACTTTTTAAAACTATTTCTTCTTTCACACAGTTAAGCTTTACATGTTCAATTTGTTATACATTTAATTTTAGTCCCTATTTGAGACACTCAAATTTAAGAAATTTAAGAAAAATAATTCAACTTAGTGAACTTTAACATTTGTTGTCTTTTGCATGGGTTTATGTTAGATGGAAGATGGTGCCCCAAAGCATATCATCCAAATGACAGGATTTAAGATGGAAGAAAAGGAAGCTCTAGGAAAATTGCTTTTAAAGCTAGATTGCACTTTTATTAAGAGTGAGGTAAGTACTAAAATCTTTCAAAATGTTCATTGTAGCTGAAAAATAGAATTAACATACTGCGTTAAGAATGATATAGTGTCACTTGATAATTGTAAGAATAGTATGTGTTATTAAGTAAATATCACATTAGTAATATTTCTTCACATGAATTTTTCCCCTTCAGAAATATAAAAATTGTACACATCTTATAGCTGAACGCCTGTGCAAGAGTGAAAAATTTTTAGCAGCTTGTGCAGCAGGTAGGTAAACCACCTTTCTCTAGCCCCTGAAGAAAACTTCATGTTAAATGCTAAAGATAAAGTGCCTTAGTTCCTAGAAAGTTAGCATGTTTATTATAGCAAATGTAAATTTGTTTTCTGTAAATTTGTTTTATTGAAAATTTGATGCATTTTTGCTTTATTTTTCCTCTGAGTAAAATTTTGTAATTATAAATTTATAAAATATAATTTATAAAATAAATAAATTTATAAAATTATAAAACTCAAAAATATAGTAAATAGAAATAATAATTTGCCAGAGATTTAGTGTGTACATCTAAGAAGAAAACACTTTAATGGAAAGATTGACATAAAAGACAAAAGAATAAGCTTCTTTTGATGACTTAGTTATTCTCCTCATGTTCCTTTTCCTTCATCTTGTCATTGCAAGGAATCGGTGTTTTTGTTCTCCTGCTGTTCCTCTCCTTTCTTTGATATGAAGCAATAGTCATTCTTTCTTAGTTTACTATATACTAAATTTGTTAGGACTTAGTCTACTGTCTCCTTTGTCATCATTAATATTGCTATGTCTTTCTCTACTATGGTTGATGTTGTAGTCTACTGATTTCCAAAACAAGTTTTTAAGTGTATATAACTAGGAAAGCCTACTTTTTAAAAATTAATTTGTCAAATAAACTATGTGGATTTATTGTTAACTTCACAAATGATAGCATGCATTTTCCCTGATTAATAAAATATCATTGATACTCAAACTACAGAATGTTGTCTATGAAAATTATAAACAAATTTAACATCCGTAATGATGCTGTGGACATTATTGAAAAAATTCTTAGCATAGGAGGAAAAATATAAATGTAATACAAATAGCAAATGAGTAATGATTGAGATACTCCTATATTTTTGGATTTTAAAGCTTTAGATTTATATTCACTTGTAGTTATTTGAAATAGAAACAATTACATACAATGTTCAGTGATGATAAAAAGCCTCATTCTCAAAATGTAGTTCAGAGGTAATGTTGGCAGCATAATTGTTACATGTTGTAAATGTTGGCTTTGATTTGATTTGATCTTTATTGCTTATCATTTATCAGAACCAAAATTCTTTCTGTGATGAACTGTTCATTTCTTTTCAGGAAAGTGGGTTCTGACTAAGGACTACATAATTCATAGTGCCAGAAGTGGCAGGTGGCTTGATGAGACAACTTATGAATGGGGATATAAAATTGAAAAGGATTCTCATTTTTCACCTCAAATGCAGTCTGCCCCTAAAAGATGGCGTGAAGAGCTAAAGCGCACTGGTGCTCCAGGAGCTTTCCACAGATGGAAAGTTGTCCTCCTTGTGAGAGCTGATAAACGCAGTGATTCTCTTGTAAGGTAGGATGAAATCTCATTAATTCCAGGGAAATGAATGGTAAAACAGTGTTGGCACAAAATTACCCTTTGACTTTTTTTTTCAATTAACAGTCAGAATGAACTATAGTGATTTATTCTTTGATCTCCTAGGCAATCCTTTATGTAAACATATGTATCTAATAGAACAAAATCTATCTTCTAGTATTTAGAATATTTGGGTGTTCACTATTTTAGTGTACATGTTATTTCTTTTGGCCAACTCCTTTACACAAGTATAATTTATAGATAATGAAAAGCTTCCATTTTAAGTGTACATTTTGATGTTTGGACAAATTTATACATCCATATTAGCCTCACTATATCAAGATACTTGTATCCTATGTTCCCTTAATTTTGGCCACCAATACAAGTATCTACTGGTTTCGTATATTCCCTTAATTTTGGACCAACAATACAAGTTTTGGACCAACAATAATGGTTTCCTTCTTGTCACTACTGATTACATTTGTCTATTTTTCCCCTGAGATTTATACATATAGGAACATAGTGAATATATTCCTTTGATATAACATCACTTGCTTTATATAATAGAGATTTAGCCATGTTGTTGAAAGTTTCAGTAGAACGATTTTTTTGCTTTTGAATGAAATGTTCTTAATATGTTTTTTAGGTAAATATGGTCTAAAGTATATTTGAAGTTCAGCTGTTTAAAGTTGTCTGAATTATGTGTCCATGGTTGCAAATGGTACATTGAAGTTTTCTACTGTAATACTGTATTATAATTTCTCTCTCTCTTTAGATCTTTCACTATATGCTTTAGGTATTTAGATACTCTTAAGATTCAATACATATATTTTATTATAGACTCTTAATTGACCCCTTAATTATTGTATAATGATCTTTGTCTTTTTGTGTCGTTTTTTACTTGAAGTCTCTCTTGTCTGATAATGAGTATATTTACTCTTGTTTTCTATTTGTTTTAATTATCCTTTTGTATTCCTTTGTTTTCAAAGTGTGGTCTTAAATGTTGAATGTTACCCTAATAGGTAACATATAGTTTGGTTAAAATTTTTTTGGTTTTTGTTATTTTGCATTGGCTATTTCATGTCTTTTGATTGGAAAATAGTCTATTCAGAAAGTAATTATTGATAGTTAAGAATTTACTAATGCCTATGTAATTAAACTTCCATAAAGAAATTGAAAAGGCAGGTTTAGGAAACCTTCTAGAGAGCCAAACATTTTTAATGTTTGGTGCATGGGAAAATTCGGGGCCTTCTAAATGCCAAACAACCACTCTACGACTTGACTTCTACACACAGCCCTTCAAGCTGGGTGTAACATCTGCATCATGTGTTAGTGTGTACCATGATTTCTTCTTAATAATGATTTTGGGGTACTTGCCCCATTGTGTACGTCTTATACTTTTTACTACTATTTTTTTCATGGGTTTGATCTCAAAGCCTTGTTAGGCAGACATTCTACCTCAAACCAGTCTTTTTTGCTTTAGTTATTTTTGGGTGGGGTGGGAAGGAAGATAGGGTCTCACATTATTTTGCCTGGGACCAGCCTTGGACTGTGATCTTCCTTTGATATATCTGTGCCTCCATAGAACTTGGATATAGTTGTACACAATCATACCCACTGTGTTTGTAAGCTGGGAGTCTTGCCCATATTTGTGCCTGGGCTTGCTTCGAACTGTGGTCTTCCTGATTTCTACTGCTCAAATAGCTGAGATTCTAGGCATTTGTCAACATGTTTGGTCCTACATTTTGTTGTATACCAGACATCTTATGTACAGTAATACAGGCTGGAGTGAATAATATTCATATCCAAAGTTAGCCTACTTCTTTTGTAAGGCCGTTTATCTGATCTTATCAGTGGTTGGAGTGGGTTTGAGTTTTGCTATTTGTACAATTTTATTTGGTGAATGACTTTACCTTACAGTAGCAGACTCTAGTTTCTTTGTGCTTAATGTGGACTTTGGATCTCCCATCTGTCCATGTTTTACCTTCCCCTTTCAACAATCTTTTACATAATACTTGATTACATATGGATTCTCAGTGCTCTTTGCCTTGTGATCATTTTTCTGCCAAGGGTTTAGATTGTTATATTTTCAGTTCTTCACTCGTCAGCATTCTCTATTATTTATTGGTCCATGAGGTTCAGGCCATGTTAGAATTTGCGTTTTTATTTGTGTAATTCATCCCCCTCTCCACCTAGTCAAATACTGCCTTGTTTCAGAGGGTCCTTGCCACCAATATTAGACCTCTGCTGTTTGTTGGTTAGAAGGTCCTAGCCCCAAGTGTCAGTTTTATCACTTTTTTGGTATAAATAATTTTGGCTTTTTGTTGTTTAAGAACAGTGGGGTCTTTTTCTAGACTGGGAAGCAGGAGGTTTTCCTATACCTTCTATCATTCCAAGAAAAGCAATGTGTTTTCCCTGCTGTGGTATGAGGAGGGAAGAATCTTATTCTCCAAATATCTAAAGGTTTTTGCTTTGTATGAGAGAAGAAAAGGAAAATGCTCTTGTGTCTATATTTCAGTTATATCCAGTTCCCACTAGCCACCTGTACTTACCTAGGAGGCTCTCTTTTAACTGCCCCAATTTATTTTACTTTATTTTATTGTCTGTCGGTTGTGGTGCCTGGATGTTCTCCTTCAGCTCTTGAGCTCAAGGCTAGTGATCTACCACTGGAGCCATATCACCACTTGCGGTTTTCTGGTGGTTTACTGGGGATAGGAGTCTCACGGACTTTTCTGTCCAGGCTGGTTTTGAACCACAATCCTCAGATCTCAGCCTCCTGCATAGCTAGGCTTACAGGCATGAGCCACTGGCATCCGGCTGCCCCCATTTTTTTTCATGAGTATTTAATTGAGGCTTGTTGCAGAGTTTGTGAATGAATGCCAGGGAGTGTGTGTGTGGTGGCGGGGGGGTGTCTGTGTCAGTTTTCTAACCTGTCATATTAGCTATACTCTGCCTTTAAATGTTTTAAAATTTTTACCAAATTCTCATGTACTATAGTGAAAGCTACTTCTTTCTGCTAAAAGTGAAATCATTTGGATAGCCAGTCTTTTTCATAAAGGGGCTCATTACTCTTTGGAAATCAGCTTACTTGATTGACTTCTTATCTTGGTTATCGTTTGAATGCCAGGAAAATAATGACTTTGAAGATCATTTGGCTTTTTCTTATTGTTAGATAGTAGTAATGTTGCTATCTAAATCTTAAACAGCAGCAGAACTTCTTGAAATCTTCTGGATATGTGTGTTTTTGTCTTCTAAGTCTAAAGAAAAACTAAAGGTTACTATTTATGTATTTATTTTTGGCTGATGCTTGGACTTAAACTCAATGCTTCATGCTGACCAGCTTGCTTACATGGCTGGTGATGTATCACTTGAGCCATTCTCCAGCCCAGATATTTGTTTTTTATTGTGAAAATACTGTACAGAGGAGTTACAATTATATGGGCAAGATAATGAGTACATTTCTTATCAAGCATTGTAGCTTCCTCCTTTGTTTCCCCTTGCCATCCCTTCCCATCCTTCCCTCCCACCCCCCCACGCAATCCTTCCCGCCCCCCCTATTTAAACGATTTTTTTCCCCTTCCCCTCCACAGATTATACCGACATCAAATACAGTGAAAGCAGGGGCTATACTGTGGGGGAGGGATGAAAGAACAAAAACATTTGAATACATATCTTAGGGTTCATTTCCCTACCATCAACTTATCTGACCTTTTCTGCTTGACTCAGAGATGTACTAGATATTGCAAATAAGGGAAACCATGGGATCTATGTTTCTTTGGGCCTGGCTTACTTCACTTAATAGAATTTTTTCCAAGCCTGTCCATTTCCTAACAAATGGGCAATATCATTCTTTCTCATGGAGGCATAGAATTCCATTGTGTATATATACCACATTTTCTTGATCCATTCATCTACTGAGAGGCATCTGGGTTGGTTCCATATCTTAGCTAGGGTAAATAATGCTGCAATAAACATAATTGTGCTGCTGGTAGCTTTAGTGTGGTCTTGTTTGTAAACATTTGGGTAAATGCCCAAAAGTGGATTGCTGGGTCATAGGGGAGTCTTTTGAGTCTATGTGGAGTCTTTTGAGGAACCTCCATACTGCTTTCCAAAGTGGCTGAACAAGTTTACACTCCCACCAACAATGCAATAGGGTTCCCTTCTGTCCACATCCCCTCCAGCATCTGTTGTTATTAGAGTTCTTGATTTTAGCCATTCTAACTGGAGTGAGGTGATATTTCAATGTTGTTTTGATTTGCATTTCTTTTATGGCTAGGGAGGTTGAGCATTTCTTCATGTGTCTATTGGCCATTCTTCTTTCCTCTTCAGAGAAGTTTCTCTTTAAGTCTTTAGCCCACTTATTTATTGGGCAGTTGTTTCTTTGAGGATTTGTTGTTGGGGGATTTAATTTTTTGAGTTTCAAGTATATTTTAGATCCAGCCCAAATATTTTAAGAGTTAAAGTTTTTAAGCTTGTTAGAGGATTTTGCTGATTGGTTTTATCTTCTGTGGTCCAGAATGAGTTTGTGAAGATACATTGCCTTCCTGGGTAAGCTGCTTCCTTGAACTTCCTTTGTTTTTCTTCTGACTTACTGCCATTTCAGTGGGAAGTACGTTAATATTCTTGATTTTTTAAATCCTTTCCCATATCAATATGGGTAAGTAAAAATAACATCTGTGCTGAAGAACCTAACACTTTAAGGAATTAGATCCTAGTGCCTTAGGAAGTCATTGATACAGATAATTTGACTAATAGACAATTTTTCTAAAACACTTTTTACATTTTTATTTAGGGTTTTGGAGGCGGGAAAAGCAAATATTATTTTACCAAAAAGTTCACCAAGTGGAATAACTCATGTGATTGCCAGTAATGCAAGAATCAATGCTGAGAAAGAAAAAGATAACTTTAAGGCTCCATTTTATCCAATTCAGTATCTAGGGGATTTTCTTTTAGAGGTGAGTAAACTAAATAGTAGACATTGTTAAATGTTTATAAAGTAGTAATATAGTAAAATACAGTCATCCCTCTGTTTTGCCAAGGGACTGATTTCAGGGATACCCTTCATATAGCAAAAACCATAAACGTTCATATCTCAAATCCCTTAGATATAAAATGGCTCAATATTTGCATATAGTCTCTCTCTCTAAATATATATCTATGTCTATATCTATACATATCTTCTTGTATATTTTAAACCACCTCTAGATTACTGTAAAGACTAAGAGATTGTAGATGCTATGTAAATAGGTACTACACGGAGCCATAACAAGAAGGAAGCTAAGTTCCAAATTTTGAAAACAATCATAATTAGAAGTAAAATAATTTTTAAGATGATTACTCTCAGTTACTTAAACATTCAAGAATACCTCTTGCAGATTTGAAAGAAGCTTATCTTGAGTTTCTACTTCTGTTTTTAGTGCTTTAGTGGTATATACATCAAAATAATTTTGAGCATTTTAATATCAGAATATAATAAAATAGCAGCAAAATATTATTTCAAGTTTTTTTCCCTCCCTTTGGAAAGGAGAGGTTTTTTTTTTTTGTCGGTCGTGGGGCTTGAACTCTGGGCCTGGGCGCTGCCCCTCAGCTCTCCAGCTCAAGGCGAGCGCTCTACCACTTGAGCTACAGCGCCACTTCCGGTTTTCTGGTGGTTTATTGGAGATAGGAGTCTCACGGTCTTTCCTGCCCGGGCTGGCTTTGAACCGCGATCCTCAGATCTCAGCCTCCTGAGTAGCTAGGATTACAGGCGTGAGCCACCAGCACCCGGCAGGAGAGGTATTTTAAGGGGTTATATTTTTCTGCCTTTTCCATCTATCTCCATCTCCCTACTTGATACAAATACCAATTTTCAAGTTTTTGGATAATGAATCAAACTCTAGAAGACATCTCTAGTATGTCTAAAACCAACCTTAATTCAGAACAATTTTATTAACTATGTTTTTTTCAATAGATACTTCATCTTTTTACTTAATACTTTATGTTAGAGACCTGAAGTAACTCTTGAAGCCTTTCTTTCCATAACTCCTCACATCTTACCAACTACTAAACCCTATTGATTTTCAAATGTCTCTTGAATCAGACCATTTTGACCTTTCTGTATCAACAACACACCAAATTCATCATGTTTTGCTCCTGGCATATACCAAATACTCTACATTTTTATTAATTACACCTGCCTTTTTCTTTGCTAGTTTATTCAAAAATTTTTATGAAGTAGTTCTTATCTGTCATTTCCTTAGTTAAAACCCTTCAATAACTTTCCATTACCCTCAGTTCTTAAATATTTTAACATTTACAACTTTACAGAATTTTTCTTCCTCCTACCTTTTCAACTATTCCCCTGGTCCCCTGCTTTTTTCTGTTCACTGTGCTGTAACAAAAATTCCCTGTCAGTTTCTTAACAGAAAAGCCGCTTCTTACTTAGTTATCTTCCCAAATGTATTTCTCTGCCTGAAAAGTCTTTCCTACTATTTTACTCCCTTTGCTTTCTGCTTTTTCTTCATTGTTCATATTTCTGTTGAGGCCTTTTAAAGAAATCCAATTGACTGACCCCTTGATCAGTATTTTTGATACTTTCGATTCATCTACATAGCCGTTTTTATAGCTTTTTTTGTTTCATAATACATAAAATTAACGTGTGATTAACTGACTAATTAACTATTATTTCCCTACTTAAACAAAGCTTCTCAACATGAAAGATAACATCTATCTTTAATTATATCATAATCACTTTACATAGAGCCTGGAAAATGGGTTCTCATTTAATTTTTAGATTAAGAGAGAAATTGTAAAAGCCTTTGAGTCTTCAAAGGATATGTGTAATATATCATTCTGTAATTACCTTTCCCTAGTGAGTATCTTCTATGTAGATTGGGAATTTTACCTTAGTTCAAGGAATGGATCTACGTGGACTATGGATAATGTCATTTTCCTTCACAGCAATTTGTCTAGGAACGAACTGAATCATTTCAGTCAATTAGACATGGAAAGAAGTATGTAAGAGCTAAGAGTGTTCCTCATTCAAAAAAGAGAACCATTGGCAAGCTTGTTCTGTGAGATGTCAACACAGATCAAAATAATTTAAAGTCTTAGTAGTTGCCATTCTTTGACCATGAGTTTTGCAACTTGTAATATTAAGTCAATACTATAGACAGCAGATGTATAGATAAAATTATTTATGTTTTTTCTTTCAAGAGAATTGCTATCTTACAAGTGGTAATTCTTGTCATTAACAACTGAGAAAAGTAATCCAAGAAACAATCTGTCTATAATTCTATCAATAATCTGACAGTTTTTCTGTTTGTTTTTTTTAAATTTAAATAGTTGTACAAAGGAGTTACCATTTAACAAATCAGTTTATGAATACAGTATACTTGATCAGTTTCACCCTTTCAACATTCTCATCCCCCTAACTACCTCTTCCTTACTCTTCTTAATCTTGTAGGATATGCATTGGGTTCCTGACTGCCTTCTTCTTCTCTTTGCCTTTTTATTTACCAACCCCTGTCCATTATCCTTTCAAATACTACTTCCTGGTGCTTGATTTTGCTTAACTTTAACTTTGTCTTTCTAAGTGATTACACTATTTGAGTTTTCCCTTGAATCTACCAAATTTCAGTTAATACATCTAAAAAAAATTTAAAGTAGATTATGACTTTAGCTTGCATAATGACTACATAAAATATTTTTATCTTCATTATTAAAAATACTTATTACTAGACAAAACTTAACCTTGAAACATACAAAAATTACTTTGTTATTCAGAACTTTTTCTATAGTAATTGGTTCCTTGAAAGATTTTTACCAGTGTTCAATAAATCTGTTTTGGATGGGTATGTCATATATACTTGTTTATTTAAGTATTATATTATTATTTAAGGTGAATACTCTAAGGTGTTTATAATGTTGAAATTATACTTAATTAATTGTTTTAAACATTTATGCATACATACAGAAAGAAATTCAGAATGATGAAGATTCCCAAACCAAATCTCTTTGGACTGAACATGGCAATCAAGAAAAAAGCAAAGATTTTGGGAATGATATGAGGTTGCTTGAAATAAATAGTGCTTTAAGAGAGACCATGTCTAGAACCCAGGTAAAATCTCATAGGTCCAATAGTGTACCTTTCTGGTTTTTCATACAGAATTGTTTGAGAGTCTATACTTGATGAAAATAATATTACTGGTCATCTAGAAGCTTAATATTTGAACCCTGTATTTTTAGTCTGACTTGAGCATACTAGAAAATTACTATAGAAAATATCTGTAGGAACTTTTGTTGAATATACACACACACACACACACACACACACACACACACACACACGCATACATATATACATATATATATCATATAAAGAAACAAAATCCCTCAATGTACTATATTCTCAGCACAAAGTAATTACTTAAAACTCCCCTGTATGTTTTACTGTGATGTTCTATAAAGCTTTTTTTTAACCTTCTGTGTACTCATAATTCATCACCTAAATTCAAGTATTTACATTATGTAGAAACAAACTTTGAAAAAACTGAATTTTTGTTACCATTGAAAATAAATTGGGGGAGGGGGAAGAAGGTGGGGAGGGAAGGGACGGTAGGGAAAAACAGAGGGGGTAATAATGCTTGATAGAAGTGTATTCAATACCTTACTCATATAACTGTAATTCCTTTGTACAGTATCTTTACAATAAAAATATATATATTAAAAAAGAAGATAAACCAAAAGAACAGAGGACACAGTAATTATAAAATACATTTTTCATCTGCAATATGTAAAGAAATGGCATTATTGGTTGTACTCATAGAAGAGCTATTACTAGTTTATGTTTAGTTTCATACCTTGCTTTATAAATGTACTGTAGTTAATTCATTAAATCATTAAAAATGATCACTAACTTACATTAGTCTAAAATAAAATACTTCATTGTAACAAGAAAGAAAATTTAAAAACTCAGGGCCTGGGTACTCCTCCAAACTTCTTTTACTCAAGGCTAGCATTCTACCACTTGAGCTACAGCACCACTTGTGGCTTTTTCTGTGTATGTGGTGCTGAGGAATAGAACCCAGGGCATCATTCGTGCTAGGCAAGCACTACCACTAAGCCACATTCCCAGCCCCAAAATTACTTCTTGAAAAAAAATTAGGAATAAGTTGGAACCTTTTAAATTGCATAATTCTTTAAGAAATCATATATGGTAAGATTTTCTAGAACTTTCGAGGCAGAAAATACTTCTTATATTTTTTTCCTGACTATTCCAAAGCACAGACTATTCTGTGATCTCATGAACATGTTTTAACAAAAGAATTTTTTTTTTTTTTTTGTCGGCGGTGGGGCTTGAACTCTGGGCCTGGGCGCTGTCCCTCAGCTCTTCAGCTCAAGGCTAGCGCTCTACCACTTGAGCTACAGCGCCACTTCCGGTTTTCTAGTGGTTTATTGGAATAGGAGTCTCACGGTCTCTCCTGCCCGGGCTGGCTTTGAACCACGATCCTCAAATCTCAGCCTCCTGAGTAGCTAGGATTACAGGCGTGAGCCACCAGCGCCCGGCAACAAAAGAATTTTTGAGTTGACATTTTTATTAATTTTTTGTTGGCTGACATGTTTAGATATAGAAAGAACTATAAACTGATGAATTTATTAAAGTGCCTCTGCCATGTATATAAAACTTCAGAATTTTTATTTCTAAATTAAATTTCTTAGTGAATAAGCAAAATGGTTTGAAGTACTCCTTACTCTCTCTGAATTATGCATACAGGTAAACAAAAATTAAGTGAGGATATAAATTTAGTAAAAGCCCTAGTGAATCTTTCTGCTTCATCTGGTATAATGTGTACTGTAACTCACAGGACACTTTTGCTTTTTATATTCTTGTATATGTGTTTCACAGCATTTGTCTTTTTGACTTTTTTTGTTGTGATTTGCATTGTTTTTGTTGAGGGTCTGTTTAATCCAGTCTAATTAAAAGTAATTTTATAAACATGCAGAAAGAAATACAAAATCATGATGAAGACGTTAATAGTAGTTCTGTTTTGCATGAACATCATAAAAAAGAAAAATTCAGAGAATCCAGTAAAGATTTGAAATTTGTTAAAATGAGAAATACCTTCAAAAGGCATACATATGGAAATCAGGTAAAAATTCTACAAATTTAAAATAAATATATGTATATTCCCCAACTGTTTTCTATATTTATCAAATATAGTGAGTGATCAAATTACTTGAGAATTATATATGCAAATATACTTATAAAATGTCTTGTAGACTTTCAAAAACATAGATTAAAATGACTGTTTTTGTACCCACTGTTAAAAAAATAGCATTACTAGAGTTTGAAGAATGTTTTCTGTCCTTCCCTTCTTTTTACCCAAATTATTCTGTATTTTAGAATTTGTGTTAATAATTTTCTTGTTTTTCATTATAATTTTACCAGTTGAGTTTATTCCAAACAATATATCATGTTATTTACATATATGAATATTTTGTTTCATACAATTTATAGACATTTTTTGCTGTTATCTTTATTTCATTGTTTGACAATATCACAATTATGTCCTCGATTACTGATAAGAATTTGAGATTCTTTTGTTGGTTGATTGGTTTATGAAATTATGAACAATGCACATTCTCATGTGAATCTTGATATGCATGTTTGGGCATTTCTCTAGCTGCAGGTTTACTCCTAGGATAGAAAATAGGGGCATGTTCATCTATACTAGGTAAAGCTCAACTCTTCACCTAAATGTTCTTCTATATAAACATTACAACAGTAAATTTCCTATTTTTAAGGCTTTTTATTGTATTGTAACTTACTATTTTTGAGTTTGTTTTGTTTGTAGCATGTATAATTCATATTGTAATTTATATAACTGTAAAAATATGTGTAGAAGGAAACAAAGAAAAAAGAAGATATTCAAAGAAATTATACTTTGAGGAGAAAACGCAGAAAAGAAACTGAGGGCAAGAATGATGTTGGACATGATACAATCAAAAGTTCCTTTAAAAAGCACATATATTACAGAGATCAGGTAAAATTTTAGATTCATCTCTTTTTCCTAATCTAACCTAGACAGATAATCATAGTTTTATGTTTTGTTAATGCATTAAATATCACTCATATGACTTATTAAAGGATCTCTTTTAATTAATCTAACAATGTTATAATTAACATGGTCACTAGTAAAAATATTTTAAAGGAATACAAAAAGAATTTGTTAGTAATTAATATATTCATTTTAATTTTGTTTTTCGTGAATATAACAACAAAAATTTTGGAAGGCAGAGTGAATTCTTAAAAATCAATAACATTTTAAAATTTGGTACGTAATTTGAATAATGCATTCTATTACAAATTTGGTCATTAATCATGCTCTTTCCTAGTGTACATACCACTCATAATAAAAGTTTATCTTTTAAATAGGATTCTTCTTAGATAAATTATTCTGAAGATATAATTTAACTTTATGTTCTAAGCTGCAACATGTTTCTATAAGTTAAGCATTCCTAATCTATATATCATAAGCCCTAAAATGTTTTATGATCCAACACTCTGTAATAGATTCAGTGCTATAATTTTGTGGCATGAAGCAGAAAATAACACATGAACTCATAGATTGCAATAAAAATTAGGACCTAGGCATAAAAATATTGTATAAAATTACACACACACACACACACACATACTCACACTCACGTAGGCACAGTGACTCGTGGTCTATAATCCTAGGTACTCAAAGAGGCTGAGATCTGCAGATTATGCTTCAAGGTGAGCTCACACAAGAAAGTCCATTGAGGGTCTCTAGTTAAGTACTAAAAATGCCTTAAGTTGAGCTGTGGCTCAAGTGGTAGAACACTGCACTTGAACAAAGACAGTGCCCAGACCCTGAGTTCAAGCCCCAAAACCAACACACACAAAAAAACTTTCTGTGTATGTGTGTGAAGTATACATAAAACATAAATGAATTTGTGTTTAGACTTGGGTGCTGTTCCAGAAATATTTTATTACAAATATTCAGATATTCCAAAACTGAAAAAATTCAAAATGTGGAATACTTATGGTCCCAAGTATTTCAGATAAGGAATCTGCATATAAAGGTAGGTAGGTAGGTAGGTAGGTAGGTAGGTAGGTAGGTAAGGTAGGCAGGCAGGCAGGCAGACAGGCAGACAGACAGAGATATTTAAAAGGACATTCAGAACTGGGTGTTGGTGGTTTATACTTACAAACCTAGGTATTCTGGAGGCTGAGATCTGAGGATCATGGTAAAGCAAGCCTAGGCAGACAAACCTGTGAAACTCTTCAGTTAACCAGCAAAAACTGAGAACTAGAGACTTGACTCAGTGATATAACAGAGCCATGAATGTAAAATCCCCAGTTAAAGCACAAGGCTCTAAATTAAAAAAAAAAAAATCTGACCAAATAAAGGAAGTTCAGAAAATGATAAATGTAAATAAAAGTTTTATTTATTGTGAACATAGGAACAATAACGAAAAAGAGGTCTTAGAAAAGATTTAGTAGAGTTTAAAAAAAGTATTTGAGGGCTGGGAATGTGGTTTAGGGGTAGAGTACTTGCCTTGCATGCATGAAACCCTGGGTTCCATTCCTCAGTACCACATAAACAGAAAAAGCCAGAAGTGGGACTGTGGCTCAAGTGGTACAGTTCTAGCCTTGAGCACAGAGAGGCTTAAGGACAGTGCCCAGGCCCTGATCTAGGACTAACCAAAAAAAAAAAGAAAAATATTTGAAAGAAAGCTAGGCAACTGTAATCCTAGGTATTTAGGAGGCTAAGATGTGAGTGTCAAGATGTAAGGATCAAGGTTTGAACCCATGGAAGGCAGAGAAGTCTCATGAGACTCTTACGGCCAATTAACTACTCAAAAACCAAAAGTGGAGCTGTAGCTCAAAGTGGTAGAGACACTAGCCTTCAACAAAAGAACTCAGGGACAGCACCCAGGCCCTGAGTTCAAGCTCCACAACTGAGAAAAAACAAAAAGTACTTGAAAGAGCAGAGAGCATAGTTCAGTTATCTAGTGTTTACTTGGCTCTTGGTTTTATCTGGCACTTTAAAAGGAAGAGAAGGACTTTAAGAAGAGTAAATAGCAGATAAAAAGTCACAAAGTTGAAATGTTTACTTTTTAAGGTTTTTCTCATAAAACCTTGATAAATAATTATGAGCACTTGTGCTGTAGCTAACATTGTATGAATGTGTTCTACTCTTTTTTATTATCTTTATTGGTAATGATCTTCAGTGCAGTGTCTAAAGTTTTCTTACATGTATACAGAAAGAAATGAAGATTTCTGTTTTTGCTGATTATGCCAACGAATCAAAAACCAAGGATATCAGGACGGATGTGGATATCATTGAAATGAAAAATGCCTTAAAGAGGCATATATATAGAACTCAGGTAAAACTTAGCACACTAAACGTTTTTATGCTCTTACATGTCTCTAGTATACCAAATTATAATTATATTTTAATATATTTAAATATAGTATGTTATTCCAAAGTATGTATAATAATTTCAAAATAATTTCTTGGTTAATTTTCTATTATGAACAGTAATGTGTGAAGGCATTTTGCATATTATTAAGTTTTCTGCTGTTGATATCATTGTAATGTCACAGATAAATTGTTTTTAAAGACTGCTATAATTTTCCTAGATACCTGGTGGTCTTATAGTTCCATTTAACTGGTTACACCACAACCTTTAATCTGTGAAAAGCTTAAGAAAAATTACGGTTTTATAGGTCATTCAGGTTTTTTTTGTTAATGTAAGATTACTTTTAGCAGTTTTATGCATTGAAAGTAGAAGACAAAGCCAGGCACCAGTGGCTCAAGCCTGTAATCCTACCTATTCAGGAGGCTGAGATCTGAGGATTGCGGTTCAAAGCCAGCCTACCCAGGAAAGCCCCTGAGACTCTTATCTCCAATAAACCACTAGGAAAACCAGAGGTGGGGCTGTGGCTCAAGCTGTAGAGCTTTCGCCTAGAGCCGAAGAGCTCAGAGACAGCGCCCAGACCCAGAATTCAAGCCCCACAACCGAAAAAAAAAAAAATAGAAGCCAAAGAATTATCAGTCTTCTGTTTTTTTCTTAGTAGCAAGATAGACCACATTTTCTATTGTACTTGGACATTTATGATTTTCTTCTGCCAGTTGCTTACTCATCTTTCCCGTTTTTTTTCATTGGATTGCTTGTTCTTAAAGCTCTGTTTCTAGAAATTTCTGAAATCAGGATCTTTTCTTAATCATACTTGCAGATAATTTTCTAAGAATGTTTATAAATGTTTTACTATTGTTGTTGCTATTAATTATTTATTACTATTACTATTATTGTGCTGGGATTTTGAATTTAAGACCTAGTACTTCCTAAGTAGGTACTCTACCACTTGAGCCATACCCCAGCTCCTTCTGCTCTTGTACATGTTCAAATAAAACTTTTTGTTTGGGCCAGCTTGGACCATAATCCTCTTGATTATACTTATGCATAGCTGGGACGACAGGAGTGACAATGCCAACCTTTTTTTTTTTTTTCGTTGGTTGTGGGGCTTGAACTCTGGGCTTGGGCACTGTTCTTCAGCTCAAGACTCAAGGTCTACCACTTGAGCCATAGCACCACTTCCGGTTTTCTGAGTGGTTTATTGGAGATAAGAGTCTCACAGCCTTTCCTGCCCTGACTGGCTTTGAACCACAATCCTCAGCCTCCTGAGTAGCTAGGTTTACAAGCATGAGCCACCACACCCAGCATGCCCAGCTTTTTTATTAGCTAAAATGGAATCTTACAAACAATTGTCATAGACTAATTTTGAACTGCAGTCCTGATGTGAGCTTCCAGGTACCTAGGAATACAAGCATGATTTATATTGCTCAGCTTTAATATTACTTAGTAACACAAATTAATTATTAAAGAGGATTTTATTGTAGTGTTACATACAGGCGAATATTATGCTTTGATCAGATTCACCCATTTACAGTACCCTTTTTTTTTCTTTTTTTTTTTTTTTTTGGGTCCGGTCGTGGGGCCTGAACTCTGGGCCTGGGTGCTGTCCCTCAGCTCTTCAGCTCAAGGCTAGCGCTCTACCACTTGAGCCACAGCACCACTTGTGGCTTTTTTCTTTTATGCTTATGTGGTGCTAAGGAGTTGAACCCAGGGCCTCATGCTTGCAAGGCAAGCGCTCTACCACTGAGCCACCTTCCCAGCCCCAGTACCCTTTCTTTTTAACTTCTTCTTTTAATTTTATTGTCAGAGGGGTTGCAATTACATAACAGTAGTTTTATTTATGATTGTATAGAGAACATGGCTGTTCTCCCTTCCTCCCCCACCCCCAAGATTTTTGTTTGTTTAGGGTACTTTTTTTTGGGGGGGAGGTCCGGTCATGGGGCCTGAACTCTGGGCCTGGGCGCTCCCTTAACTCTTCAGCTCAAGCTAGCGTTCTACCACTTGAGCCACAGTGCCACTTCCGCCTTTTTTCTTTTTGCTTATGTGGTGCTGAGGAATCGAACCCAGGGCCTCAGGCATGCAAGGCAAGTGCTCTACCACTGAGCCACCTTCCCAGCCCTTGTTTAGGGTTCTTTATAGTTGTTTTTAGCAGTACCAAGATTTGGACTTGGCCTCACATTTGCTAAGTTCCTAAGGAACTTAACACTTGAGCCTTTTTTGTTTAAAATATTTTTTGCCTAGATCAACCTCAAACTATAATCCTGCTACCTATTTCTGGCCCATAGTTTGTTGGTTGAGAAGGGATTCTTGCTATTTTTAGCCCAGTCTGGCTTGGAAACTGGATCCTCCTGATCTCCTGAGCTTCCAGGATTAAAACCATGCATTATCATCATGCTCAGCATAAACTAGTGTTAAAAGTAATAATTATTGAAGTAATAAGGACAGTATACCTTTTCATATCTTCAAAGTGAAACTGACAAGTTATTCTAGTTTAGGAGAAAACAAGTGTTCATACTCATAAAAGTGCTATTACCATAAAATGGTGAAAGTTACTAATTTGAACAAATGTGTATCAGATTAATTATAGCTATTAATGTATTCCTGATTCTGTTTTGTATGTTTGGCTAAGCTTTTGTGCTTTTAAACGGAACTATATTTTTCTACATGCTAACTTTTAATTATATGGTTACTGTTTTGTAGGCTGTCAGATACAACTGCATTAGAGTAGATAAACAGCCAGTATGCAATGGAGAGGTAAGGGAATTGGAGTAGAATGCTGATGGTGATGAAAATTTTGTCTTTGGTTATTTTTAGTAAATTTTTTTAATTTTTAAAGGAATGTATTACTTGCATGACAAAATTTCCTATTTAATTTGAAACGTGTTTCTAACCAAAAATGTAAAAGAAAAGTATAGTTCTTTCAAATCTAAAAACAAAATTCTCTATAGTCATAAACAGGATAAAAATTGAAATTTTTTACTTTGTGCTTTTGACAGGTGAAATTTGTTTCACATTTCATAACTATAATTAACTATCAGATTGCAATTTTCCTGTATTTCCAAAGTATATTATTCTCTGTTATTTATTATTTCAAATTTGGTGTTATTTTATGTTGTCTTTCTGAATATTTTTTATTTTCTCAGTTAATTCATAGTTGTCACTTTTATTGATAAAAGTAATTTGACCAGAGATGAATTTTTTTGAAAGTTTTAGAGTTACATACATTAATATGTATCATTAATAATGATTTTATATTTCTCTAACAATTTTCATAAATATTGATAATCTTAATATATTTAGATTATTCTAATAAACAGAGAAAAAACAATATAAGTTTATGCCTAAAAGCTATGTGGCTATAGTTCTCATATTCCTGCATATTTCTTTTATGCTTTAGAGATGGATATTTCTTTTATTATTTTAGATCATTGAAAATTATAAATATAACAACATTTTTGCACTGCTTTCTACTTGTAAAATAATCATCTACATCAACCTTTTTGGGGGTGGGGGAGATTGGTGGTGGGGCTTAAACTCTGGGCCTGGGCGCTGCCCCTGAGCTCTTCAGCTCAAGGCTAACACTCTTAACACTTGAGCCATAGCCACACTTCTGGTTTTCTGGTGGTTAATTGGAGATAAGAGTCTCACAGACTTTCTTGCCTGGGCTGGCTTTGAACCATGATCCTCAGATCTCAGCCTTCTTAGTAGCTAGGATTACAGACATAAAATACTGGTGCCTGGTACATCTGCCTTTTGAATTTCATAACTTTATCAAGTAACAAGGGCAATTATCTTCATGTTACTGATGAGGAAATTAAAGTTCCTCAATAATTCAAGAGTTGATCTCAGAATTTTATCTTTATAAGTCATGCAGTTGTTTTTCTTTTAGATTAAGAATGCTGAATTTCCCAGAGGTGTATTAAATTTAATTGAAAGCCTCATAGAAGGACAGTTTTTTAATGAAGCAATTGAAGAACTTTCTTCTTTGCAAGCACATTACATCCCTCCTGTATGCCTTCTTCATGCTCTTCTAGAGAACATTCTGCAAGTAAGAACAGTCTTTAAGGGTTTCTCATGTTTTATCAAAAAAGAGAAGATAGCAATTTTTCCTTCTCATTTTACTAGGAAATGTTACCACTTTTTTTCCTACTTCTGAACTATATCTAGGCACTATTCTGAAAGATTGTTACTGTTTTCTCAGAACCCAAGAAATCTGATATTTCTCATGGCAGTAAAGAGTTTAATATAAAAATCAGATTTCAGTGATCTAGTATGCTGTTTGGTAAATTACTTCATTAGACCCTGATAGTAATCACTTCACTCATGGTTATGCAGAGAGAATGAGCATAGTCCTTAGTAAACCATGTGAAGGGCTGTTGAGAGGTACCTATTGATTTGAAAATAAGACAAACATAAAATATATCAGACTCAAAGTAAGTTAGAATATTGCTAAAAATATTCGTACCTCTGCTGCTTTTTTTTTTAATTTTATTTTATTTTATTTGTGAACATACTGTACAGAGGGGTTACAATTGCATGGGCAGGATAATGCGTACATTTCTTACCAAGCATTGCAGCCTCCTCCTTTGTTTACCCTTCCCATCCCTTCCCAGCCTCCCCCTCCCCCCATCCCAATCCTTCTCCTAAGTGACTTTTCAGAACTATTATTCTCTCTATTATGAAATAAAAACTGGATATTCTATATATACTAGTTATTGTTTTGTTTTTGTTTTCTTTTGTTTTTTGGTGCTAGTCCTGGAGCTGGAACTCCAGTCCTGGTCGCTGTCACTGCTCAAGGCTAGCACTTCCACTTGAGCCATGGCTTTATTTTGGGCTTTTGTTTTGGTAGTGAATTAGAAATAAGACAGAGGACAAAGGGAGAGGCAATACAAGACAATATGTTGGAAATGATCTGTGCAACTTGAAGTGGGGGTTGAAGGAGAAGGAAAATAGGAGAAAAGTGAGGGGGGGGTGACAAGTTCAACAAGAAATGTACACACTACCTTATGTAACCTCTCTGTACATCACCTTGACAAAAAAAAATTTTTTAAATAGAATGATAAAACTGATTAAATCTATAAATAAGATAGAATCTTATTTTTTAAAAAATCTTATATTTTAAAAAATCTCAGGGCTTCCCTTCATCGGATGAAATATGATCCTCGATCTCAGTCTTGTCAATAATTAGGGTTACAGGCAAGAGCCACCAGCACTCAACTCATAGTCTTGTAGTTTATAAGTATGCCTCATGACATTTCCATCTGACCTCCTTTGTCCCCCCCCCCAAAAAAAAAAAAATATATATATATATGGGAAAACAATGTTAGGCCACAGTTAATTCTTCAGTTTTGGGGCTGAATTAGCTGGCAAAACTGTACTTCTAGTATAGTGTTTTATTTGTTTGTTTATTTTTAAATAATAGGATAATATAGATACGTTTTCTGGTCGATACTTTCATATATTGTCAGCTCTTCTTCACTTACATCCTCCTTGGGAGTCACCAGCCATGTCAAGATATTACTTACAGTTGTTTCAGTGTCCAACATGTATGAAAGGATCCTGGTCTCTAGTAGAAGTACTTATCAGGTAAGGAATTTCACACATGAAGATGTTAAATTTTGTTGAGTATTCTTTTGTTGTTTTGTTTTTCTGGTTTATAGAAATTAGTTGAAGTAAAAATAGATAACATGTTTCTAATCTTCTACTCCAAAGCATCCAGCTACCTGCCTTCCATTTTGTTAGCTTTAATTGTGCTGCTGACCTACAGGCCGTAAAAACAAATATTAAATTATTAATCACAGTTTAAAAAAAGAAAAGCAAATGTGATTGTTTTCATCACTGTAATCTGAATAGTTCTTTTGTTGGTTTTTGTTTGGTTTTGTTTGGTTTTGTTTGGTTGGTGATGGGGCTTGAACTCCAGGCCTAGGAGTTATCCCTCAGGTCTTCAGCTCAAGGCTAGCTCTCTACCTAGCACCACTTCCTGCTTTTTCTGTGGTGCTGAGGAATCGAACCCAGCGCCTCATGCATGCAAAGCAATACTGTACCACTGAGCCACCTTCCCAGCCCCAAATAGTTCTTATACTGTGTATTTTTATTAGATACTGAAAGATGTATATTTGTATTTTTAGAAAAAAAATCTGCTGCAAAACTTATAAAAAAGGCAAGTTTGAGTCTACATAGGTTATGTTTGTCAATCAAGTTAAAAAAAAGAGTATAACAAAATCATGAAATAGACTTAATTGCAGAGCCCAATGTTTTTTTAACAAAATTATAAATGTGCATATTTTTACATTTTTAATTTTTTGTTATAAAGATGATGTACAGAGGCGTTACAGTTACATAAGTCACTTAATGAGTATATTTCTTAAGAATATGCATCACATTTTGTAACTACAGTAATACAGTATTGCTTTAAGTATTTTTTAATATTTTTTCAGCTAGAAATTTGAGTTTTGAAACAGGATTTAGTTTATCCTAAATGCATCTTTCATGCCTCAGTACAAACTGTCATCTGCGTAGACTTCCCTTTTCTAAATATTACTGATTCCAAAAACCCTTAATGTTTTTTTCTTCTTTTCCTATAAGACCTAATCATTTTTCCATTTCTACTCAGTGCTCTACTTACTAGCTCTCTTATGTATGCAAAGATCTTTCTTTTTGTCTGTGTCCAGACAACTCTATAGTAGAGAAAAAAAGGGTATTTAATTAAGCAGCTGAAAGCTAGCTTCTTGAGATCATTGTAATTCACTGTATATAAACTTAGTTGTAATATATTTGAAGTGAATGAATCCGTTACTTAGCCTGCATTTGTTATTTCAGCAAATGTTCACCAGAGACTATACACTGTAGGAATTAAAAGATAAAATTAAGGGCTGAGAAGGTGGCTCAGTGGTAGAGCGCTTGCCTTGCATGCTCAAGGCCCTGGGTTCGATTCCTCAGCACCACATAAGCAAAAAAAGAAAAAAGTCGGAAGTGGCACTCTGGCTCTAGTGGTAGAGTGCTAGCCTTGAGCTGAAGAGCTGAGGGACAGCGCCCAGGCCCAGAGTTCAGGCCTCACGACCGAACCCAAAAAAAAAAAAAGATAAAATTAAAATTTCTATGTTTTAAAGGTAACCAAGATATAACAATACCATCACAACAGTATTAGCCCATAGGTAGAGACAATATGGTTTTGATGGCTAGAATCCTTTCTAATTTCTGTGTTTTTTTTTAACTGCCATTGCCTTGATTTTAAAGTTTCAATGTCTTCTTACACTGTAATAACTGCTTTGTCTTTGTGTGTGTGTGTGTGTGTGTGTGTGTGTGTGTGTGTCTCACATCTCACACTTACTAGGCATCTATATTCTATCACTTGATCTAGTGATCTTGATTCTTTGTCTTCAAGTGCCCCAGTATGCGCTTTCCAAAATGATTTTGTCATATTTCAGATTAAAGGCCCTTTATTGACTTACATCTAGAAGACTGTTTCCATTTCTTAGGAAAACATATAACACCAAACAGTGTGGTGTTAACATGCCTCTAATTCCAGCATTCATGATGCAGGAAAATTGCCAGCCTTTCTTCTTTAGCCAAGACACTTAAAAAACAAATAAACAAACAAAAAAAGCATGAACAAATACCAAATCATGTAAAACTGTTACATACACCTCCATTCTCATCTTTACTTCCCCAAATATGTATGTTAACTAGTGCCATTTCTTTTCCCTTTACCCTTATGTTTTATCTGCTAATGAATATACCTACATTCCTGCCACCTTACAAACATATAGCTACTCTTAATTACCATTTTAACGTAAGTCACATATCATTTCCTATCTCCTGTCTACCTGTTCGTGAGTTGTTACTCACATCACTCTGTAAACGCAGGTACTGTTTTACACATCTCCATCTCAATTTTTGATCTAGTGACTAGATCATAATAATGCTTAAAAATAACATAAAAGCACCTAGAATTGCTTGGATGAATTAATAGATGCTACAGGAGAGCGAATTAGGGCAGTTTAAAAGTAGACTTCTTAAAAGCAGAAATACCCAGGTTTTGTAAAAAAGTAGTTGTGATTTAGGGTGTTTGAGGCAGGATGGTACTTAAGAGAAGTGATGAGAACATAAATGAACTGCATAATGTTCCTTCTGCTTTTGTATATATTTTAATATACTATAATATTTAAAGCAAGAAAGAAAAGAACTATAGTATCTATGTTGTCCCTTTTCAGAAATACTAGAAGGCATACCTCCACTTTTACCTAGTTAATTGGATATCAGAGTCTCAAGGACTTTACTGCCCAGCTGGCTTTTTACCACAATCCTCAGATCTTAACCTACTGAGTTGCTAGGGTTCTATGCATGAGCCTACAGTGCCCAGCTTTATATTTTACCAGAAGGAATTTTATTACAGTTCCAACATTTAAAAAAAAATATTTTGTCCACATATTGCTCAGTGATTTTGTTTCTGTGTTATGGATTGTTGGATTCATATTTTTCAGGTCTTGCCTTTTCAATGAAAGTTTTTGTCATCAAATTCCAGAAAGTATTGGCTCTAAGGTACTCTACCTTACACTACTCAAATTTTTCTTCAATTTAATTGAAACTGAGGTCCGGAATTTGAGTCAAAAGTAAGTTTTAATAACAAGAAACAACAGTTTTGTGTATCTTTGTTTTATTTATGCTTTTATAATCATTCGAAATCATACTTCTAGAAAGTCACCTGTTCTTGTCTTCAAGTAGATTTATTTTAAAGAACATTTTCGGGTAAACCCCAGTACCCTTCTTTATTTTCTTTATTTCATATTTTCTATTACATTTTATTTGGATTTGTATTGTTGTCTTTCATGATTAATATATTTTTTAATTTATTAGTAACTCAGTACCTAAGTGAGAAGTTATCCTAAACAACTATTTATAATGCCAGTAAGTTTTGTAGTTTTAAACTACAAAATAAATTACTGTGCTTTTTAAGCTTAGACCATTTTTTGTATGTCTAATGTTGATACATTATCACCTTTGTCCAAAAATTGCTAACATTTTTTTCAATCTTACAAATGATATTATTAACACTCACAATTAAACTGGACATAAAGATTCACTTTTTGTTCGGATTTTTATTAGGTTGTATGACTGGTCAGATTCTCAGAGTCTGAAAATAACAGGAAAGGCAATTCCTCTTGAAATCTTCTGGTCAGGAAGTGAGACCTCAGGGCTTTTGACCAAGCCAGTAAATCTGCTTTTGGAATGGACTATATATTCTCACAAGGAAAAATGCAAGTCAAATGATGTAAGTAGATTAATTTACAAATAAATATTGGTCCATAGATAAACTGTATTTGGTTCTTTTTTTTTTATCTGCAGGTCCCACATCCATGGATTCAACCACAATACATAAAATATTTGGAAAAAATTCTCTGTATTGAACATGTACAGATTATTTCTTGACATTCTCAAACAATATATTGTTAAACTATTTATGCAATGTTTGATCATATTAGGTATTATAAGTAATTTAGAGATGATTTGAAGTGTTTGGAAAGATATACTATTTACTGTTAGGGGTTTGAACAGCCATGAGCTGAGTCCTAGAATCAGTCCTCTAAGGGATTGCAGTACCTTCTCCCATTACAGAATAATTATTTGAAAAAGTTAAAATAAATTCAATCATTGGGGGTTTTGGTTTTGGCTTGGGGTTGTTTTTTTTTTTGTTAGTGTGTTTTGGGTTTTTTGCTAGTTCTGAGGCTTGAGCTCAGTGCCTAGACACTGTCCTCAAGCCTCTTTGTGCTCAAGGTTAGTGTTATACTACTTGAGCCATACCACCATTTCCAGCTTCTTCTGAGTAGTTGATTGGAGGTAAGTGTCTCATGGACTTTTCTGCCTGGTCAGGCTTCAAGCTACTCAGCCTTCTGAGTAACTAGTATTATAGGCATGAGCCACTGGCTCCTGGCTATGTCATTGTTTTATATTTAGTGTGTCTGTCCTTCAGGTAATGGTTCTTATAGCACAATTTCTTCTTTATCTCTTATTTAGATCTAGTAATTATTTGATCATCGTGTCTAAATTTATAATTAGTTTTAAGTCCTTTAGTACAGTGCATTTCATTTTATAAGGATATTAAAGGAAGAACAGAAGAATCAATCCATACAATTCTTGGAGTGGTAGTACGGTAAAAAGTAGACTTGGTTTTTATTTGGTTTAGTGTTTTGGTCCTTTGGTGGTACTAGGGTTTAAGCTTACCTTGTTTGCCAGGCATTTTTGCTTTCATTACTTCTTTAATAGGATGTCTTGGACCGTGATCATCCTGTTTATTCTTTCCTCATAATTGGGATAACAAGTGCTAACCATTGCACCCAATTTTTTAATGATTGCAGTATGGAGTCTTGTAAGCTTTTTGCTCAGGCTGGCCTGGCAGTTGTGGCCCTCTGTCTTTCAAGTAGATAGAATTATAGATACAAGCCACTGTGCCCTGGCTACAATAAAAAGTTTTGATTGTTTTTTAACCTTTGCTGTTTGGTAAGTTATATTCTGAACTCTTTCTTCAAAGATTTTGCCTGTCATAGAAATTTAACCAAAATGTTTTCAATGTATTTTGTTCTTGCCTGAATTGGAAAAGTAAATGCAGTAAGACAGTTTGTAAAGTGTTAAGCTGGATCTCAACATAAATATAAATATTTATGTAAATTTGAGTTACATGAAGAAAGACATTTTGGAAAAATAGGGTACCAAAAATTTAAGCTGTCTTCTACTAACAGTAAGCCCAATTAAAAATATACATGAGTTTTTAAGTCAATTTATAATTGACTTAAAGTCAATTTACAAATATAAAATAATCACTCCATAAGGAGAATATGAAAATTGTAAAATATATAACAATTTTATAGTAAGACTCATTGTATCCTAACAGTCATTTCTTACAGTAGCCTATGAGTGAGAATACTGATAATTTGATTTTATAAGTAGTAAAACTAAAAAAAAATCAAAAAGGTTAAAATAAATATTGTAAGTTTGCAAGGCAATTGACTTTTATTTTTAAGACTCACTAGATAATGCAATCTAGTCTTTATGATACTGTGTTTATTGTTAAATAAATTAGAGTATAATTTTTTTCTCTGCTTTTTAAACCTGTAATTTAAAATATAATAGGTTGCTTAGAATCCAATGGGAAGAGTTTATTCTTGTCTATAGAAAGAGAGTTTTGAAGTACTAAATTTTAGTTGACTGTGACATTATTAAATTATATTCAAATCTCTGTTCTATTTAGACAGTTTGATAAGAAAAAATCTATTACATGTTAGCTGGGGAATAAAATGGAAAAATTTTGTGCAATAAAATCTTAGTGTATAAAGAGAAAAATGGAGCTAGGTGTGTTAGCTCATGCTTGTAATCTTAGCTACTTGGGAGGTATTCCAAAGAATATTGTGGTTTGAGGCCAATCCAAGCATAAAGTTAATGAGACCCCATCTCAGCCAACAAATTGTATGTGAATCATGTCTGTAATCTTCACTCGGTGGGGAGGTATAGGTAGAAAGAGCACAGTTCATGGCCATGTCTGATATCAAATATAAGTCAGATCGTAACTGAAAATAATCAAACCAGAAAGGGCTGGACACTATAGCACAAAGTGGTTGAGTGTCTTCCTAGAAAATACAAAGCTCTTGGTTCAAAAATTCAAACACTGGCAAATAAAGAAAACATGTAAAACATACAACGTTTTAAATATATTCTTTTTTTAATTTTATTTTATTTGTGAATATACTGTACAGAGGGGTTACAATTACATGGGCAGGATAATGCGTACATTTCTTACCA